AGACGCTGAAGCCGTGAGCCGTCCGCGACGATACAACACAGAGTAAAGATAGTAAAGATAATTCCATTCTAAAAATAACACTTTATAGTCGAATAGTCAATAGCTATAACAAAAATATTACAGTTTAGACAATTTTACCTATAAATTAAAATAATTATAAGTTATATTATGATATATTTCAATATTTACCTACACAAAATATTATCAATAGGTACGTTCTAAAAAAAATTAATAATCCAAAAAAAAAGTAACGAGTAATTTAGTAAAATTTACTACAAAAAAGTAACTTATATCACATATAAATTACATACAATAAAATGTAATTAAATTACCATCAAATTACTTAAAAAGTAATTTCGTTACAGTAACTTGTAACTTAGGTTAAGTTACTCCCCAACACTGCCTGCAGCCTCTGCTTTTTCGGGTGTAGATTCAAAACGAATTGTATTTACCATTTTATAACAGATAGTTCCACGATATAAACAACTAGGTATGATACCTACGTACATTTTTGACTGTCATATCCTCCGGCATAGCGTAGTGTATAGTAATAATAATTTAATGACAATAATATGATAATATGGGTAAGCAAGTCACAAATGACGTGTGGTGTGGACTTAGCAATACATGGGCAGTTCCGAATTGGTTTCCAAGCCCCCAGAACAAGCATGCCGAACTGGTTCCTGTTTAAAAAAGGTATTTTATTAAGATGATCTGAATTGGTTCCCGTTTCTGTACAGGTCAGATATTTTAAATTTAAATTCTTGAGCAATTTTTTGCAATATGAAATCATATATAAATAATTTACCAGCGCACATTCTAATATTTGTTTTTTGTTTTATGGAGACTTTGAACGGTATTCCAAAATTAAATTACATTAAATTTCGCAGTAGTAATACAAGGAAACTTACCAGCACACAAGAAACATACAGCCACTGCCCACTAGGTAGTTGGAAAACTGTAGTCGACTGCATTAATGTGAAACGTACAGTACACGATTAGTATATTTGAAGACATTTTGCTTCAAATTTGCAAGGTTAGTTTAACTTATCAGCTTAACAATCTTAAATTTTAAATTATTACATTTATTTGCTAAGTAATGACTCATGACTGGCTGACTTCCATTTCAACGATCGCTAACCTCACATTTTTGACATGCCTACTTTAAAGTAAACCCCACAAAATTGGGAAGGGAAATGTGTGTAATTAAAAAGCGATAGATAACACTTACACACTCGACCAGTTGTCAGAAAAATAATAAGCAATTATGTTTCGAATCGGTTGGTAGATTATAGTGATACCAATTTTGAAAAGAAAAAGTATTATACAATAATATAAAATACGGTTTTAATTTTTTTTTTTAAATATAATAATAATTGTATAGGTAATACACGTCATATTGGTAGTACACATTTAAAAAAAATTAAAATTTTCATGTTTACCAAGACGACGGACCGATACAAAATATTACTTATTCGGACCATAATATTATGTGGTCTGTTGTTTCAAAATTATTGTTTGCGTTCAGTTATGATTTGATTTGATTAAAAATTGTATAAACGTAATTATTAGGATCACCGTTCTGGCTATTAATAAACAGCTACAAAGTTGTTAGATTCTTACACTATTTGTATTTATTGCATCGGTTCACTCACTACAATAATTATTTTATTATTATTAGTTTTTGTTCGTAGAACTTGACGCAAAATATAATATACATAGGAAATAATCCATCATTTTATGATAAATATATTGTATAATTATTAAGTGTTCTATATAGGTTAGGTGTTCATCACTTATGTAGGATAATATATTTTATACATGTCTAAAAGAACACCAAATATTTGTTCGGTAGTTGATGAAATTATAATTTATAATACTACCAAACCTACTATAATTAATAATAACTAATAAATAATAATTCAATTAGGACGTTTAGGGCCATATTCATAGTTGATGCTTAAGAATAAGTATTACTTGATGCGAGCTATATTATACTTATGACTGAAATGAGATTCGAGACTTTGGCTTAAAAAAATAAAAAGTATTACTTGAATTACAGTTGGTCGAGACCTACCTTAAGCATTGCTTTTAGTTATTATCACAAATTTTTATTTTTAAATTATCAAAAATAGCTTAAGCAATACTTATTCTTAAGTATCGGCAATAAAAACGGCCCTTGGTCTTTATACAATAGCCAATAGCTGTTCATAAAAATTAATTCAGATATACGACTACCACTCGAAGTCAACCTGGGTTATTTTCTCATTAAGTTCAGTAGAATGGTCTCCGACTTAAATAACGATAGGTACTCAAATCCCAACGTTTGCTATTGTCAAATACCTTGGACTATATAATAATTTTGATAAACATCTCGTCCGACCCCACTTAAAGGCCAAACGTCAAACACTTAAGCCGCGACTTCATCTACTTCATCGATTTTACAAACTCTCCTCAATAACAAAGAGCACATTAATACAATATACACTGATCTTTTAAGACCCATTTGGCACCTACCACAGCTAATATACAAATTTGGTCTCTGAAAAGCCTTTAAACACTAAAGCCATACAGTAATTTGAGAATTTCATTCAATATGTTTACGCCAAATAATACAGCAGCTCCCTGGTATATTACTAATGACCACGGTCTTGTTAACACGTCCGTGCTAATGACTCACTTCATAAACACCTTTTACATTAAATAAACCTTGCTTATCTTACTTATAACGAAACTCATAAAGGATTTAAACTATCTCTCAAATCCCCTTGTACCTACTATATTAGCCTGTCCTTGAGAAAAACGCCAGGCAACCTGCCTAAACGCCTGAAAATTATTTGGTATACGGCCTATTCCTGAAATATCACCCTATTGGGATGCTACCAACTGCCGACTTCCACACTTCTGTCTTGTATCACATTTTCGCATTATTTAATATTTAATTATAATTGCTTATTTATATATAAACGTACAGATTGTAAATTTATTGCAGTGATGTAATTGAAAAAAATAAATAATATGTATAATTTATAATTAAATAGCTACACTACATAGTGCATTGTATTGCAAAGTTTGACTTATCTTTTTTTTTATGTCATATTTATTTAATTTGTACAATCTGCAAAAAATATATTTACAATAAGCACAATGGAGGAATACATAATAGGTAGGTCATGGTTGGCTTGACTAAAGAAGTTATTCAATAATAGCACTTCGTGGAGGGATAGACTTGATTTATCTAAAATATGAATTCAATGTGAAATTATAAAACCTTCATGATAAATATTGCTCAACGTATAGGCACTTGAAAACGGTTTTTTCACAAGATAAATAAACTATAATAATTCTAGTCCAGATTTTAATTAAAATTAATTAATAAATTAATTTTAACTAATAAGCTTTCTATGCTATCTAACAGCCCTGTAACAGTACCGTAGCCATGATTTCTCAATGGTAGGGGGAAAAAATAAACCCAGAATTAGGTACATGTTTGTTTGTTAACGCTAATTTCCTATGTATAACATTCAAAAATATACTACTCATCAAAAAGTATAGCAGTAGTATTTACAATTCGTGGACCAAAAACTTGACCCATTCTAGAACTTAATGGTGATAATATTTCCTCATCTTCAACTATAAAGTTAATAATATATGATATAAAGAATATCTAGGAATTATTCTGGATAAAAAGTTAACTTGGAATTCGCTAACTACAACAATAGGATATCAACGATTTAAAATACTTTCCATCTTAATCAATTAATAAACCGTCTTAAGTTGGAAATTTTTTCTGCTTCTTTACAAACAAATTCTACGGTCCTTGGTACTTTATGCTGCCCCCACTTGGAAATACCACTCCAAAACTCATATAAATAAAGTTCAAGTTTTCCAGTACAAAATATTATGAACAATATGACATATGTGCTCTGGTTTTTCAGAAACGAAGCTCTTCACACAGACTTCAAACTCCCCACAGTTAAAACTGATATAAAAAATCTTTCAATCAACTTTTTCGACTAACCAAAACGTGCAAACAGTGCACAATATTTCAATCTACGTGACAAGTATATATGGAATCAAATAAAAATCAATAATAATCATTTGTATCATTCACTGTGTCACTGATAAGTATACCCAATTGTTGAATAATATACATATATATATCTTGACTGTTTTTATAATTTATAATTAAACATTAAAATGTTTTAAGTACCTAACCATTTGGTCTATAAAAAGAAAAAAACGTAATTGTGTTTCTTTTCGAATAACAAATAAAGATTCAAATCAGTTAGAATATGTGTATAGTATGATGTTTTATAATAAAGTTTGAAGCAGTTAACAAAATAATAGTAATATTATTTTATTCTTGGGTAGTATACCTTTTTAGGTAGGATTAAGGAAATTGCGGGGCTATATTGTTCGTGTATCTTTAAGTACCTACCTATCCAAAGAAAAGTGTTTTAAGAATGGCACAATATTTCATACCAAATAACTTTTTATTATTTTAAGAAGTGACTATAAAAGGGAGAATAATTACTAATTTCCATTCTAGTAATTTAAGTAAGTAATTATTACACTCTAAAAAAGTCCAATATATGTTGATATTAATTAGTTACCTGTCGGACTGTGCCCTCGTCGGAAAAATCAAATACTTTGATCAAAATGGAAGGGGGGGGGGTTCTTGATGACCACAACCTTATTATATTCTGTATAGAATTTTGTATCGTTTGTATTTTCTACTATATCATTATTATACACATATATTAAAAATTATTTTCTAATTTAATTGATTGCTTTTGAATACTTACATTAATGACTTGACTATTACTTTTTTTGGCTGAAAAATCAATTAGCATTAGTGAAAAATGGTATCAAAATTATATAAAAATATAAAGAATACAACATTAATATTGCATGCCTCTTTAAAGACAAATAGACAATATTTATTTATTTTTCGGTCAAATTTTATGAGTACAAAACAATGACATGTATAATTTTGTATGAGTAAGTTTAATAACTTATTTTTGGTATGTGAGTGACAAATACTAATATAACGGACCAATTAGTGAAGCGAAATGTACTATTCATGATATACCATACTAACTGTAACAATGATCAACATAAAAGAAGCAAATGTGTTTCATGGAACTTAATGTGCATTAAGCACGCAATTGTAGACTCCTTACAACAGCAATTTGGAAAAATTGAATAAAAATATGTATCACAAGTGTGCAGATGATTATAATAATAATAATAATAATAATAATAATAATTATAAAAATAAATTACTAATCGAATACGTATAAATAAGACTGCTAAAAAATGTAAACTCAGTTGCAGTTTAATAGCCACGTATTATTTTATGCGATGTTAAAATAAAAATTATTCACATAATTTTGCATAAAATTACTTCTATTCGCATACCAGGATCTCAAAAGGTTAGTTATGCATATCTTTTTCTTAATGTTATTCAAACTAAAAATTTCTAACGTTGATGCATATTGTAGAATATTACATCGTACAACGAAAGCAGTTTCACAAAGTTAATGTTATTATTTTATAAAACATTATTAAATATCTATTTAAATGAAAAACTGAACTGTCTTTTGGTTTAACGTTCGTAAAATAAACGTAATTTTATGATAATTAATAACCGTTTTAAGGGAAAACAATTTAAACACTCGTTGGCGGAATTGCAGTTGAATTAATATTTTACGTATAAATAAGAATATCAATCGCGATTTTATAATCCGAACAATATATTATTATGCCACTAGGTATACAAAATATTATATACAATTGCAAAAACTTTCAATCTCTAGACAATAAATAAGATATACAAGTTTATGTTACACTGATTTCGAGGAAACTACCTACTGATTATGTTTCATATACAGATGTCACTTTCACAAAGTTTTACATTCAAAAGTTATGTGCCAAAACGAAGTTTGAGATTTCTCGTTGGTTTTACAACGATGGTGTATAACATGATTGTTATATTAGGTATTATTATAATCATTACCTGTTTAAATAATCAAAGTTTCTCAAATTTAACAGAAGCCGGTAAGTAACAATCTACTAAATTGAAAAGTCTGTGACTCGTATGCGAAATTTCAATATTTTTCTTTATAGCTTACAACCGTTTATAACTCACAAGATTTTTCGTTACATTTTATCGATCAATTGGGTGATTATTACTAATAGGCCTGTTTTGCGAGGGGGTATAAGTATTCTCTCCCCCATACGTCCGTCTACGAATAAATAAGTTGTTGTAACTGCCAAATAGAAACTACAAGGAAATACTGCTAGCTAAAATCAATAAGTAAATATCCACTTATGCATGATTCAATGATACCACGAATGAAGATAATATTATAATTTATATTAAGATGATGTGTGAGAAAACTGTGTTGTAATTTTTCCCTCTGATCCACGTGCAACATGATATTATGTCTGTGAAGTCCACCCTCGACTTTGTTCGATCGATTTGAAAAATGTGCCACTATTTTGCAAGTAATTGAAAATTGATTATTAAATTTGCAAGTTAATATTTTTATTTGATAACCCTTCGACTTTGTCCGATCAGTTCAAAAAACGTGCTAATATTTTTCAAATAAATTAAGTTGCAAATTGATTGTAAATTGATTTCTATAGGAATTTGCAAATCAATAATTTGTTTTTAGAGAATTTTACAAGTTTTATTTACCTGAAACGGTTATTAGCTTACAGTATTTTAATGGTTACTTACTTGCAAGTTTTAAAAACCAATTTGTATTTATTTTACATTGATTAACACAAATAAATTGGACGAAGTCGGGACGCCAACCATATGGGCACATGTACCTATACCATTGCAAATTCACATTCAGCTGAACCATTTTTTTGTTCTTAGCTATTTAATATTAGAGTTAAAGGACCTATTATCATTTATAATCCACATTATCTGTGTTTATACTTTGGTTTATTTTACAATATTTAAATTTGTATGTGATTTAATGGTTATTTTTAAATTTTGATATCTTACAAGGGTATCTACTTGGTAGGTTTACTAAGGTATCATAACTTGGATAAAAATTGGAATATCGTAAAAAGCCAAGACCAGTAATGCGTTTAGTAAAAATTCAATTCACTGTTATAATAATTAACAACACAAAATTGGTTTTGTTGAACGCAAATTGCCTACGTTGCATTCAGAGAGTGAAAACAAAATAAAGTGCGCCGACATCCACTTAATCAATGTTAATAGATTTTGTAATGATTGTTGACAAAACATATTTAACAACAGATAACCATAATATGTTTAGAGTTTACAGCAGATATTGTCGCATATGGTTAGGTTTCTTTTTTCTGTCGACAAAAGAAAATCTTATCGCTTTTAAAAACAATTATTATGTGATATTAATATAAACGATATTATTTGTTATTATTTCCTTATATTTTATGTCTTAATTATATCTTGGGAGAGCCAAAGGAATTAGGGTTAGCCTCCTGCCTAAATTTAACTTAAGGACTCTGTGCGTTGTACAGTATAGATGTTTTCATATACGTTATATATATGTTAATATGGGTTTTACAGTAAGTTTGGATATTAAAATTAATTTTTTTCTCGCAGCTATTCGCAAACATGATACTGTCAAGTACTCTGCTGCTTTTGGTATGGAACGCGTGTTTTTTATCGGCTTCCAATGACTCGGGCGTCAAATATTTCACCAATGAATGGTTGGTGCACGTACCTCTGGGTGAAGTGATGGCTAGAGAAGTGGCGCGCGGTGTCGGCATGAGATACGACGGACCGGTAACTTAGATTTTAACAGACCACCTACGTATGATACGTATTGCAAATACTGAGGAGGAAATGTAACGACTATATATTTATCGTTTCACAAAAGCTTGAATTAGAACTCAACTGTCTCAGCTATAACCGTTTTTAGTATTAAGGAGCTCGTCGTAAGCAGCCTAGTAGGGGATTTAACGTACCTACCGAAAACCAGTAGTGTAACGGTAGAGAAATAAAATTAGTTTAATGAAATCAATAATATGAATAAAGCACAATATCCATGTTCGACAAACTTTTTTCAAAAAAATTGAACTATCGAATTATTTATTGATGATTAAATTTAATTTCGGAACAATAGGTTATCCAAATCTTATACAATTATATTATTCATCAAACCTAGATATTAAGACATTTTTTTTTCTTGGGGCTACGCCCTCGTCAATCCATCCAATTTCCGCTTATAAGTGAATTGTCTCTGTGATCCTGTACTTGTCCAAAAATGAAAACTCGTTTTTGAAAAGGCAAAGTACAGTCTTACGTATAACACTGCAGTACTTACGCCTACAGTGAATTGTCATAAATCACGAGGTAGGAACGGTCGAATCGCATAACTCTTAGAACCATAGAATAAGAATACTGTACTCGAATGAGCTGTATACATAAATCTATTTGGACTTATAAAAGTGAGAATTGTTTGTGACAACGGATAAACACCGTGAACACAGAAAAGGCGTAATTTTTTTCCCTTTCAAAAACTTCCAAATCCAAACCAATGTCAATGGAATTTAAGTTTTCAATAGTACTGCGAATTATGTTACCTATTGTTTAAATTATAATCATTTTTGGCAATTGAAAAACCATCCCCATAGTATATTATTAAACTATAGGTACCACAATATAATATGATCGTATGTAAATAGGTATTATGAAGTTTTTTGTTGAATTAAATTAAATCTTCTATTGCTTTTTCTCTAATATATTATTATATAGGTACCTATACTAGTTATAGTTTATATATCATAGTCGATATATTATTTTATAACCTATATTTATTTTCAGATGTGTTTACCTTATTTTAGTAAAGTAAATTAAGTATTAATATGGAATTTGATGTGTAAAATTACATTAGGTGCTAGATAATGGGTGTCAAATTATTTCATTTGTCACTCATAAATATTAAATTACTTATATAGTAACTAGAAAGTTGGCATACTCGTAGATGCGCTTTTCCTTACTTGTTAGTTGTTTGTTTTGATATTTAGCCTGATAAATAATTATTATTAATGGCTTTGCAAAAAGTAATAAATGGTTTCCCATCATATCACGGTTTTGATACTACATTTTAAATACACTACCTACCTATAATAATTGTCAGGCGATTAGTTATAGTATTTAATTACTTCTGAAATGGTTTTAAACGTTTTGGAGGTTTGTGTAGGTTTTTTTTAAACTGTAGAAAACATTACATATATTTAAATATTTTTTTATATTATATTGTCGGTAGGTACCTATTATTAAGATTTATGAATTCAACATTTTAATTTTGATAATTTCGTGAGTTAAAATTTTATTTAATACACGCAGTGGCTTACCCAGGATTTTAGAACTGTGGGTCTGCCTTACTAGAGTCCACTGTGTAGAAACTTCAACCGACTAGGTATTACGGAGTCACCCATGCGCTCCCGATTTACCTTATTAGTTATTTACATCACATTTTGATACTAACATTAAATATAACTATATTACATGAGTCATAACATATTTTTAAGTAAATTGTAAAATTTACTTACAAGCTTTAATAGATATATTTAATTAATTGCTATTTTTATTTGTTGCATTAACATTTATATTCAATTAAAAAATTTACCTGACATATTTAAATCATTAGAAGGAATTATACAAATTTATTATTTTATTTTTATACGTATATTTGCAGTATATTTATTTTATTTTAGTTTTCAAGGACTGATTTCATTTTCACTAGAGATATAGAAGGGGGTTCTAAATTCTAACACAATACAAGTCAAAAATAAAACATTAATACAATTTATATTTTATAATACCTACATGAAAATAATAGTAAAGAACTAGAACATTACAATAATTTTCTGCGCTTTTTCATTAGTGCAAATTATGTACTTATTACGTTAATAAAATCAATGGTTTGAGCTATGTTGCTTTCCATGCTCAATATGGCCAAATTTGATAGCCGGTCTTCAGTCATAGTTGAGCGAAGGCATGTTTTGAGAAGTTTTAGACGGCTAAAACTTCTCTCTGCAGCTGCACTGCTGACTGGAAGTGTATAAAAAATGTTATACAAAGTATATAAATTTGGATACGAAGAAACAATGTCTCGTGGTATTATGAACTTCAATACGTCATTTAATTTTAAAGGTCCAGTTACTCTAGTTTCAATAGTTTTGTCATTTGTTGGTAAACTAGATATAATGAACGGCATTCCACTTCTATATCAATTTCATCTATGTCAACTTCATAAAATATTATATAATACCTATATCTAACATATTTTTATACTTGTGTTTTTCGAATTTAGGTAGGTACATTATAAGTTGATAAGTTTAAACACGATTTCGTACGAGTTATTTTACTTCAATACTCAGTCTTCACGGCTGGCTGTACATACGATATACCCCTACATCATAATAGCAGATCTTTGATATTTTGATAGGGGTAGGGGCACATATAAATTGTATAATTTTAATTTTAATTAATAATACATACATACTATCAATAATGATTATAATAAGTAATAATTAATAGTTGGTAGTATTATCCTTATAAACTGAATGTTTCATTTATATGATACTAGTAGTTAAATAACAAATTTTCGACAGAAAATTGACAAGGGGCACGTGCCCCTCCTCTAAATTCACCACTGTACATCATTTTTTCAAATATAAAAATGTTTATATAGTTTGCCATTTCGAGGGGCCACATTTATCTGGGAAAACAACTGTGGGTCATCTGACCCCCCCTCCCTGGGTCCGCCCCTGAATACACGCGTATATATAGGTATTATAACTTATTTTTCCTTACTAATCCGAAAACAAGGAAGGAGCTGTTTAATCATTACTACTTCGTATGTAGTACATACATTTTAAATATATTATATTAACCGTCATATTTTTATATACTAAACCAATAACAATGATATATCTTAAAAGAATTCAGACATCTTGTAGATAATAATATGCACGAAGTACCTACTCATTACTTGAAAAGGTACTTGATTGAGGTGTTCAAAATAGTAATTATTTGAGAAGATTCTTTTTCTGAAGATATAATTTTATAGAGACTGAAAGATAACAAGTACACTTTTTCAATAGACAAGTTCACTTGACCGACAACTCGGGTCACAGAGAGCCTTGTCGGTTATCTTTTTCGCTCGTTTCACAATTAAAATTGTCATAAATGAGAGACAAAAATATAGACTACACCAAACGTATAGAAAGGTTATTAATTATTACTATTATAAATTTTATCAGTTGGAAATATCTTTTAAGTGAACGACTTACTGCAGTTGCCATCAAGGGTGTATTTTAAGGGTTTTCAAGTTTTAAGGGCGTATAAGACGTTTTGGTTTTGCTTAAATATAAATTTGTTCTGAAAACAGGGACATTATCATATCAAATAATTAATAATAATAATAATATTATTTTTTAATTATATTATCTATAATACAAACGATTCAAAAAATAATATCGAATAAATTAAATCTATACTGTAATATTAAAATATAACTGTTTCGAAAGAGTAAAAAATTATAAAGACAGAAAATACGGTGAAGGTAACACTCAACCAATTGGGTAGCACATTTTAATCTTTAAACGCTTTGATGTCCTCAAGGTAAACATACATACCAACATTATTTTATGTAATTAGTTACTAACTATGGTTAATATAATGTTATATTTTAAAACATAACTCTGAAGGTGGACACTCTAAAAAATGGATATTACTGGCAATTTGCATTGTAATAATAAATATAATAATAATTAATATTTGTATAGGTACCTACATAAGATAGTTAGTTTATGTAGGTAGTAGCGTTTTATAACCGAATGCCAAACATAAGTTAGGTATACTATAATATTATCATATTATAACTGAGCTAATTTTATATAATAATATAGTCTTTAAGAAGTTAATAGAAACATATTCAGTTAGGTAGTCGTAGTTCTATATGTTTTTATGAATGTTTAAAGAAAAGTTAAGGTGAATTTGGGGTTTTAATTTTTTTTGGATGTGTTATTACTTATTACCTAGTTATTTGTTATTATTAAACAAGGTTTATTTTAAACTATTACGGAATAGTTCGAATGTACCAAATAATATAATATTTAAATATACTCACTTTTTATGAAGATTATATTTATGTTGTAAATAAACAATGGGGAATTCTACGTTTAGTTTCACAGAATTAAACCGATAATTATTCATCACAGATCAATAGTAAATACTGTCAATTTCATGTTTTATGTAGAATTTTAAGTAAAGATGATTTAAATAGGTATACAATCATTACCCAATGAAACAAAATATACGAAAAGTACAAAGGCGCACATATTTTTCATGTATGTTAAAACAAATTAATATAGTTATTACTTTATTTTGGTTTATTAAATTATTTTAATTGTAAAATATTTTTTTTAAAGACAGAATTTATTACAGAAAAATAATTGTTTACGTATATTTTGTACGATTATGTACACGGAGTTCAATAGTTCATGTATACACGATATACACATTATTTTACATGGTACCCGGTGTAGGACAGAGGCTTGTCAAAAAGTGTTTTAAAAAATGATGACCAACACGTCTTAAAAGTCTAGAACAAGTAGAAAATATTTCATTTCTTAGTTCCGTGTCAGTCATTTACAAATTACTTCATCACGGACGAGGTCGATCAAATGCATCCGATACAAATAGCAATACCATAGGTAATACCTAATTACATTTGACACCGTAATAATCTTCAAACCAATTAGTTATAGAAATTAATATATGTCACTAATTGTAAGTTTGTTGCAATTCAGTTTGTACTAAATCTGGTCAATGCAAATAAAATAAAAGCTTGCTAATAGCAGGTCGACTACAAAAAACAAAAACACTCAGGCACATTGGTCGACGAGAATATTATTTTAAATCTGATTTAAAGTTTAGTGCGGGGCGAGTATACATTATGCGATTTATTGCGCATTAGTAACCAATTAACTAGGATTTAGTATAGTCACAGGGGCTAGAGTCCTAGAAAATCAGAGTTAAAATTAAGTCATAGAGTCAAAAGGTCTCATCATTAAAAATTATTTCTCAAAAATCAAATGTAAAAATATATTTTTTATTGTACGCAGTATGCACATTGAATATTTTATAATGGTGTACACATCTATTTAGAAGTGAATACTTTTAAAATATAATTAATCTCATATTCTCTTTCTATATTTAGTATAATAGCTAGCTTACTGAATTTGTTTTGTGAAAGGGTCGACCTTATTTACCTTTTTAATTATCCTCGTGCAAAAAACAAAAGAACCAATCATATTTTACATTTTCATGCTTCACTACGATTGTTTCTCTGAAAACTAGAATAACCGAGTTCATATACATCTAAAATATACTATATTATATAGGTACCTAAATTATTTATATAATTATTATTCACATTGAATGCATGACAAAGTTTTTTTTTTCAAAGATTTAGTTTAAATGCCTGGGGGGCTAAAAATATCTATTGCGATTTGGGGGAGAGTCTTAGCCACTAGCCCTCCCTTATATTTATAACGATGAGCATGACAGTTATGTAGCATAGTGTTATGATAAATTGATTGTATAGTGAAATTAGTAGCCGAATAGCTACAATGATGATGAATATTAATATTAATATTAATAATTAAAACAAACAATCGATTTAAAAAGAATTGTTCAACGATGTTATTGTAACACAATGGTTTTAAAAGTATACACGTATACTAACCGGAGGTTCAAGGGGAATGAAAATTTCAAATTACCCTATCGACGATGCTGAAAAATTAATACTTGAACCACCTAGAATATCGGTTATTAATCTCCGCGGAATGCCTAAACATTTTTTCGTTGACTCCAAATATTTATATAAACTTGATACAATAATGAAATTAGACTCTTATACTATCTCAAATAAATTAGTTAATATACGGTTGAAATAAAAATGCTAATATATAAATTTTCTCAACCCTAGCACCCCTTCTAAAAAATAAAATTCTCGATAATTTTGTATCTGACTTTCATTAAGAAACTAATTATATTCATTTTGAACTTTGTTTATTCATAATAACAGTCGTTTTGTTTCTTTAAAAAAACATTTTAAACATTTTCCTACCATCCTGTTGTCTGCAGGACTTCTCTTAGAAACTGAAACAGTTTTATTAATAACAAAGTACGAGACGTGACTGAGTTTGCAATTTAAAACCCGGGACGGACTGTCTATAAATATGGTCGAAAATCCATCGCGTCTCTATACTTTATCGGGACACGAATAATTTTATATTCGTCGCATATACACACACGATCACCCTGTGAAGGTCTGTACATGGAGGCCGTACAATAATATTAATAATACCAATAATAATAATAATAATAATAATAATAATAATAATAATAATAATAATAATAGGGGATGACTGTGGTACATTATATATAGTGGTACAAAACACGCACGTCACGGTCGATGAGCGCCGTCACCGCCACCTCTTCCACGTCCACCTCCACCCGCACCTCCACCGGTGTTGCCACCGCGTTTGCTGTGGGGCGTAAGCGTTTGTCGTGGGTGGCCTTGTGACCTCGACCCCAGCCGAGGACGTGAGTACCAGGACCCCATGAACAAGCGCTACTTACGTCATCACTAGGGTGGGCGTCGGCACGGCAACCCTCGGGCTGACGATCCTGCCAGGCCGTCGCAGCTTTTCGCACCCGGAGCGCATGCCACCGCCACGCGGTTTTTCCGAACGTCATTTTCCGAAGCCGAGCTTTTCCAAAGACGGACAGTAGGGATGATCAAACCCTGGTGCAGGGATTCCGAAGGAAAACCCTGAGAGCCCCAAATTTTGGCCGTTTGCCAAGCCGGAACTCGCCACGTTCGGCGTCCCACTGCAGTCCGGACGTTACCTACCCCTAACGTTATTCCGTTGTACTCCGAAAACTGAAAAGCTTTGTAAAAAACGTACACTACGCGTTTACAATATATTATATTTTAAAGACAAATATAATTGTTCAAATGTTTTCCGTTCGAACACGTTTTTACCTCTGTGCACTCGATGTACACGTTTTTATACGATAAGCAATTTTTTCTCCATGTGCTACGCAGGTTCATAAAACAAATCGTGGATATTTCCCCCCGGCTGTTTTCGGTGTAGTGAGACATTCCCCCCCCCATTTTTTGTCGAAGTTTTTTATTTAATAATATTATATTATTTATTACTGAATATGAAATCGTTATGTTTTGCCTATTGTCTAGAATATTGTCTAAATACAGAAAACATTTCCAAATATTTTCATAAATATAATAAATTATAGATGTATATTTTTGATCAACTGAACCACTTCAAACAATAAAAATTGCTAATTTCAAATAAATATAATAGGTAGCTAAAAGATTGTCTAGATAAAAAATAATTAATATTTCTGTATTTAGTCAATATTAGATAATAGGAAAAAAATAATAATTAATAAAGAATATAATATTATTAAATGGTAAAGTTCAAAAAAAAATTTGTGGGGAAATGTCCTACTACACCAAAAACAGCCTGGCGAGGCCATTTACCTATACAACTTATACGATAATTTATTTTCCACACCACTAAGAACGATTGAGGTATGCATGGTTATAATATTATAGTAAAATGATAATTATTATTTTAGATTCCGATAGGGAGTCAAGGAATTAAATCGGCTTTACACTGATATTTTTATTATTTATTTTGAGCTATCAATTTATCGGCTAGAAGGAAGAAACGTAATAATATTCCAGAAATTGGAAATCGATTTTAGACAAGACTTTGATGAGGTATTTTTTCTCATAAATTTATTCAACACGCTTATTGTAAAGAAATAAGTTAAGAAAACTCACTCTACGACAGAGTGCTAAATTCCCAGTTTTTAAACGTATTTTAATACAACGTAGGTAAAAAACCATAATGATTTTATAACATACAGTTTAAATATTTGGTACCTAACCTTTATATTTTGGTACCTATTTTTTAGTATTGGCTATTATGCATTTACTTTTAATATAATAACCTTCATAAAAATATTTATTTATTCATCTGTAATGTTAAAATATTTATGATGTTACGACTCTAACTAAAATATTTATTTATAGCTTCTTGCTTTGAAATACGAATACAGATATAATATATTAAAATAGAAAAATGAATACTGACAATATTAATAACTGTGTACCGGTAACTAACTGACGGGTGGTCTCAACGGGTTTATAAGGTGTTCTAAAATTATGTGTTCTAACCTAAAACTATTAAACGTTTTAAAAGAAATGCAAGCTAAGACAATTTTCACCACCACTCAGAATGCGAAGGTTCAACATTTTTATTTATTCCTAACGAAGCGAGGCCACAGTGGACAGTGGACACGGTGGACACAAAATATGTTTCACACCTTATCGTTACCTTACCTTCATTACTGTTGTCAGGAGAAAAAACCGAGGAATAAAAGCAAACGATGCACATTTGTCAAAATGATACTCTCAAATAGGTATACTATGATAAATGACACACGATATACGACTCTCGTAGTATAGCGCCGGAGAACTTAGGGAGACGATGCAGAGAGGAGAAATCTTTGGTACAATCAACAAGTGTCGTCGCCACCGGATCGTAATAATAATTATAAAAATAATAATACGAGACACCGATTCGTCATTATTAAATTATTATAATATTCTGTCGAGGAGGTGTATATCGAGACAATCGAAGCGATGACATGGATCCGTAGGAAATCCGATCCTCGTTTCAGTCGTAGAATATTAACATAATAGTGTTGCACCCGTCGTGCTCGCTTATAAAATCATCGTCTTACTAAATAATATATACATACGCACTATACTCCAACGACGACTAAATAATATGACGACAATATTATGCTCATCAGCGTGTATATAATATGTTCACACTGACGGATATCCTCGGGTTGTATTATATTATATTATATTGAAACGCTGCTGTGAAAAAAATAGCGAATTCGTTTCAAACCGAATAAAATAATAATTGTTAGTAACGAAACAGCAGACGACGGAATATATATAACATAAGCAGTGCTTAATTCTCTTCCCCGAATATATACTTATAGATATATTTTGTGACCGCGTTCGTCTTAAATACGTAACACTAGAACTCACAAATACCGAGAAAAATTGTGAGGAAACGAGTGAGTGAGTGAGGGTGAGAGTTAGAGAGAGAGAGAGAGAGAGAGAGAGAGAGAGAGACTGAGAGAGAATCTCGTTTTTCCCGGCTAATAGATTTTATTATTTTTTAACATTAGATTCGTGAAATGAAATTATAAACGTCGTTGGAATGCAACATGTTTAATTTGGTTGGCGGAATAATTTTTATTAATAATTTATTTGCATTTATGTTTTTTTTCTCTCTGTGGAATTCACCACATATTTGATTTTTAATGTAAAAAATATCATAAAAACCTAGACACACGTATATAGGGTATGTACCCTTCCGTGTTTTTTACAGTCGATAACTTTTTTGTAATTAATATTTTTGATATATGGTCATAGACGCTACGCCGGAGAGAATAAGTCAAATTTTAGGGGTGGTTTAATTTTTTGATAATAAAACACACATTTGAGAGTATATTACATAGGGAAACAGTTCATATAATAAGAACCACTACTGTAATATAATGTATTAAACGTTTTTGTTTTCATTATCATGAGTTCTACTTTTGTGCAATAAATAATAATAACTAGAAAATTGAAACGACAGTTCAAATTAAACATAATATTATATCCCTATAGGTACAGCAAAAAATGCATTGAATTCAAATTGAACACATCCATTAAAGTGACCTTAATATTATTTACAGTTACACTAGACATCTATTATAATAGTTATAGAGTAGAGAGACTTGTTCGGTTTTTTGTTTACTCAAACGCAATGTACAAAGAAATTAAAATTTTTGTATTCGTGCTTAGCACACATAATATCCTAGATAGTCAATTCATATAGCCGTATAGAACGTTTTAAGTTGAACTATTAATTTTCATTAAGTATTATCCAAATAGTTATGTACGGCTAATGGGTAGGGACTGTTAGTGAAGGGTATTTTACATAATATTATTCTGGGGGGGGGGATGTGTGTTCGAAGAAAAATACGTTGTGATCCCTGTTTACAATACGGCTATGTTACTTTACGTATATATGAAGGGTAATAAAACAATATTAGTTCCTTATGTAGAAGGAGACGAGGTTAATTCCTTATTATTTTTTTCCCCGAGACTTACAAACGACATTTATTACGTATTATACTAGTAAAAATGATGAGGAACAAGGCGAATTTATTTACTCTACCGAGTCGTTGAAAAAAAAAAGCTCCTTACTATAAGCTCCGCCGAGGATAAGATATGATGCTACGTCAACAAAACGTTAAAAAAATATATATCATGTACAATGCTTATGACTCGTATTGGCTTTTATTCTTTAAACTTTTGTTCATTACACGTACCTAGTTAATAATATTTTTAATTAAAGTCTAGTTTAAAAGTGTTGAAACTATTTTTTAAGACATTTTAATTACTTCCGTGCAACAAATTTAATCATATATTGGTTTTTACAGTATAAAAAAAAAATCGTAATATCCGTGATTCACTGGAGAAAAGGGTAATTTATTAGTATAATGAAAGGACATTCACCTTTAAAATGAATATATTAGAATATATTCATGTACCTATTATGTTGACTGATTGAACATTTTTTATTAAAATAAAATGTAAATAGTTATAGGTACATAATATTTCTAACGGTTATTCTTTAAAACTTATTATTAAAAAATACATTGTTTGACCAATAGGTACAATTAGGTTATTAATTGTAATGATCATTATTATGTAAATGTTGATAAAACATTTATTTTTAGTTTTAATAATTAGGCTTTTTTTTATTCCGTTGAAGTTATTGTAACAATAATAATAATAATCAAGCATTTAAGATTTTAAGTCGTTTGTATTTTAAAATAATTCTCTTCTCATGCACTTATTTTAGTAAACCATTAGTCACAGTGTTGTAAAAAATACTTTTTAAAAGTATTTAAGTAATCACTCAAATACTCTTAAAATAAAGTATTTAAAATACCACCTAAATACTATAAATAGTAAAGTATTTGAGTAATACTCAAATACTTTTCAGAAGTATTTGAAATAATCTTCAAATACAAAAAAAACAATTCTTTTTACTTTTTAGTGCTGAAATAATTTGTAATAATCAAAAATTTGTCTATTGCATTTTAAAAACATGATTTGTTCAATAATCAAAATTCTGATCAGTCATGTCATGAACTTTTCTCTACAAAGTTATATATTAATTCAAAACTATAATATGTATTTGGATATCTCATATCGCCGTTGACGATAAACGATAATGATAATTATTGATAAAAATTGTCTTGGTAAATAGGTAGTAGTTACTAATAATTACCTAGTAATAATATTTTTCTATAGTTAAATCATTATAAAGTATAAACTATAATAGCCGATAAGCAGAAGCTTTTTACATATTATATATTTTGTTATTGACTTAAGCTAATTATAGTGATACCGACTACAGATGTATCTTTTCGATCTTCAGCGACAATACACTGTCTCCTGGAGAAAAAACATTTAATCGAAAAAAACTGATACCAAATTGGCTGTGTGTGTTTTTATTTAACAAAAATAATTATAAGTAGAAACAAATTAAGAATTAAAGGAATAAAAATTTTTATTGAATACTTATTTTTTATTCTTTTTATTCTTTTAATTCTTAATTTGTTTCTACTTATAATTATTCTTGTTAAATAAAAACACACACAGCCAATTTGGTATCAGTTTTGTATTGGTATGAGTGGTATTAAAATATGCACACATACATATAGGCGGTTTGCGTTTGGGCGAGTGATTTTAAAACATTGTAATGTGTTTGGGCGATCTTTTTTAATATCCTGGGATCATAGGCGTGCTCAAACTTTTTTCGCAGGGTATGCCACTATTTTCAAACATACCTAGCTCAAAAAAAAAAAATAACTCCTCAAAAACTCTTAATAGGTATAATTAATAACTTGCCATACATAGCGAAAGAAATTAATATGCGTTTTATTTAGCTTTTGTATTGGTTTTAGATATTTTAATTTGAAAAGTATGTAGTGTTTGTACTGTGATTTCATTCCAATGAAGTAATAGCATAGAAACCTGCAGCCATTTTATCATATTATAATAATATAACAATGACAAAAAGGTGGGCAAGTGGGTGTCGCTCTGCTGTACAGTAGGTTACAAGTGGGTCACTGTATAATACTATAATGGATGATATTAAATTTGAATTCAACGATATAATAATATCATTGTATAAGAAAAACGATTCTGAGCGGAGACGGTATGTCAGTCTATGTATAAGACATATGATATACATATCTATGGTATTAAACAAAAAATTGACCTATAATAGGTACCTATAATAAATTCCAAATTAATCATATCACAATATCCATTAGGTACTTATAACGCGTTATACATCAACAAAAACCGTGATACTATCATAGATATATAATAGTACACTTTAGAAGTTTCAAGTACCCACGAATAATATTATTCAATCACAACAAAATAACTAAAATAGTTATTCTAGGTTTTTTAATATGTAATTTCGTCCAAATTTGAATTTAAAATGTCTGTAAAAAATAACTGAGTTCATATATTTTTTAGATTTTTTGGTTACAGTATGAACTATTTATGAGAACCTTTTGTTTTGAATTTGCAATCCTTAGCTATAAAAATTGAACATTTTATAATTTATTAATTACAATGATTGATAATTTTCGAGATTTTAATAAATTTTGTCAGAATGCGATCTTTAAATGCTTATAAAAAAAAATTGTGCCTATGTATTTTTAATATTTTTCAATTGCTATTGTAACAATATATCAGGAGCCTTGTATTAATTTTTTACACTTTTTGGCCCAACAGATAAAACTTTATTGATATTTATAGAAAAAAAAAAACTAAAAAAATTGAAAACCGAAAATGTCCGTAAACGGCTAAAAAAGAGTCAAAATATTTTCAAAATTGTATATGGTGTATAGGAAATTCAAATATAAACATTCAGTGAAATTTTCATGTATCTACAGTCATTCGTTTTTGAATTACAACAAGATAAGGAAATCGCTACATGAGAAATCGAGTGAATATTCAATGTTGTAAAAATTTGAATTTCAAACGCTCATAAAAATTTAATTTGACTTTCTTATAGACATTTTTCTTTTGATAAAAATAGGTGATCTTATAAGGAATATTGTGTTTCATTTTCAAATCTTAGATTTAAAAAGAAAAATTTTTACGAATTCTTAACTCAAAATAATTTGCTAATTTTCGTGATTTTTCCATATTTTGTTAATTTTGGAACTTTAAATACCTATAAAAAAAAATTGTGACTAAGGATTTTTAATATTTTTCATGTACCTTTGAAACAATATATTAGGAGCCTTCTATTAAATTTTCAAGCTTTCGCAACCAACAAATAAAATTTTATTGATATTTTTAGAAAAAAAACTAAAAGAAAATGGAAACTGAAAATGTCTCTAAACAGTTGAAAATAAATCAAAATATTTTGAAAATGTTATCTTGTATAGAAAATGCAAATATAAACAACCACTGAAAATTTCATGTATATACGTTCATTTGTTTTAGAGTTACACCAAAAACCAAAATCGATTTTTGGGAAATCCGATTTTGCGTAAAAATTCCCGTTTTTCCTTAATTTGTATGTTGTTTTTCCCGGCGCTTGTGAAAACTACTGGGAAATTTAAATTTTGACTTCCTCATTGCACCTACGATATTGATTTTGACCCCCCAAAGTACCAACTAGATTCACTTTCCTATCAGAAAAGCTACTGATGAATAAAATCCAAGCACTTTTACTGTCCTAAAACGTGATGACAGACACAAAAATAAAAAAAAAAATTAAAAAAATTAAAAAAAAAACACACATCATTGTAAAATCAATACATTCATCGTTTCACTCAGAATCTAAAAATGATAATCTAACTAATCGAAATTCATTTATTTTTGATAGTTGTAGGTAGTATGAAAATAAGGAATACCGCAGCAGGGGCCCGCAAAATGTTCTGGTGACAAAACCCGCAATTGTGGATTTTGAATTCAACTATGTTATCATGAGTTATCAATCTATTTTATTATTTATATTGGTATCTGGAGGTGATTATGAAAATATAATTATGAAATCGAATTAATATTTGATTTTATTATAAGAAAATAATATACAAAATTAATCAAAATATTTAAATTCTTGAACTAAGATACTATGAACTATCTTAGTTCATGGTTCTAATTTATAATCAAAACACTTACAACTAAAAACTTTATGGTCAAGATAACTCTGCAGGGGATGCCATGGCATACCCGGAATCCCCCTGCTCGTACCTATGCCCCTGGGATGCTGTAATTTAACAACCCATTTTATCTCTCATTTTGACAGACTTTGATTTTTCATGAATTCCGCATGGGTATGATTAAAAGGGGATTGTTTTTTTGTGTGTGTGTGATCGTAAATTGAAACAATTGAAAATCAAGTTAAAATATTATTAAGATTAAAATAATATGTAAGTTAAATATGAGTGTGTGTAATTAAAAATTGAAATGATCCGCCATATATTTAGATTGATAACATTCCCTATAGATTTTATATATTATTTTTATCTTAATCTTTACAAAGACACAATTTAATTTTTATAATCGCTCAAACACATTACTTTTATTATGTGGGTAAAAAGGTAATTCTCCCAAACGCATGACGCCCCACACATATACGTACATTATATTATAATGTATATAAAAGTGAAATGGAAATCGTTGATACGGCTTGACCGTTTTGGCTGATTCTTTTTTTTTGCTGTGTTCGTCAGGATTGTCAGGAAAAAGTTATTATTATGAAAGAAAGTTTTAGGAAAACCAACCAAAAAGTAGGAAATGTGGATGTCAAAAATACAATAATCTGTCCAGCAAAAAAATTAACTATTAATACTATTAATTAATTAATTATTAAATAATAATAATATAATTACTTTATTAAATAAAACAGTTTTGCAATCTAATTTATTGCTAATTTATTTTTGCTGTTTTAAATCATGAAATATGTACAAATATATATATTTTTTTTTGATATAATAGTCGAATATCTCACTAAATTGTTTTTAATAATTTTTATTGGGCAACGAAGTGCACGGAGTCAGTAAGTATATTATATAATATAGTAAAATATTAATTTGACGCCCGTATGCATAATATAGTCAGTTTATGTGTCACATAACACATAGTTTAACATGTCTTATTGAGCATGAATCTTATTTCTCTGGAAGTTAAGAGATTATAATTGGATTTATTTTTTTCTCCATTGAGTGCTATTTGATCAAATCGAGTGTCCTGAATTCCTTGAACGATTATCCTTCGACATTCCTTTACAAGTGACTCGATCTAGAAGCATATTTTACATCCAATAAGCTCGTTCTAATTACGCCACATACTCTGCTGTTATTTGAATTATGTCTCACGTAATATTGAAATTGACCATTTCATTTCATCAGATCTCATGAACATCGATTTTAAAAAATATGGAAATAATGTAAAATTTAATACAACCTGAATATTTTTTATGTCACTATCCTGCTTGTAATTATATGCATAAATATATTATACAAATACATGTAAAATATTTTCTTATTATATGCCATAATTGTTATTGTTATAAATTTAATTAAAATACTTTGTAATTGGGGGCACATGTCTGTTTGTTTTTAAAATAAATAAATACATAAATAAAAAACTATTTTAATTGAAGAACAGTTCATAACATATTATATTTGAATAAAACATTTATTAAATCAATTATTCGTGTATAAATTAATAAATGATAGACATTTTTTTTTCCATTTCAGAATTAGAAAAAACACCCTTTAGGTATGTTGAATTTCCAAATAATAGAATTCAATCAATTGTACATTAGATCGTACATTGGTGGAATTAAATTATTGAAAATTCAATTAATTGTTTTGAAATACTTAGTCACCATAAGTTTTAAGGTTGCAGCAAAAGTTTCACGAAACTTTAAATACATTAGAACACAACTATTTTAAACATAGTTCAGCGGTTTCTTCAAATCATCAGACGAAATTGTTACCTACCTACATTTTGACCTTATATGTTGTGTTAAATGGAATTTTATCAAACGACTTCATGTTATTAGTTCCATTTATTGCTGTGTGCTGTTATATTATTATAATATTATGTAATAATGTTTATATTATATTATTAAGTTTGTGTAGCTAATTTTTTATTATTATTTTAAACAGGTAAACAATATAATTAGTTATTATTAATTATATTTATAATGTTAAAAAAAATAAAAGAATGACAAAACAAATATTTACTGATGATTTTGTTTTTTTAATGTTATTATAGGATACTGATAACGATGGTTTCCATCGTATGACTAAAACTGATATTCCATCCAAATTGTTCAATAATAATGACGGTATAACGCGTCGATTAAATAACCATGAATTTGTAAGTACCTGCTATTTAATTAGAAATTGTAAATAGGTATTTAGTACCTAAACATTTCATTATATTATTTTAAGTAAGTACCTACACCACCGCTATTTTTCTACATAATAACGGACTCACGATTAGTTTGTTAGGTATAAAGTTAAAACATTGGATTCAGTGGTGTAACCAGGATATATTTTGGGGATTGGTTTTAAATAAACTTACAATGGATAAATAAATATTATATATTTTATAACATATTAGTATATTAAATCGACAGAGGTACCTAGTAAAAGCAAAGAAAAGTTTCCTGTCGTAATTAAATAGTTCTACTTTAAGACGAAAGATGTTGATATTTGATAGAGAATTTATTTTGAACTTGTGTTTGATGTTTGGCTGGTAGGCGGTAAATACCTACATTTTTGATAGAAGGCTTGTTATCATTTTTACTATAACTTTACTTTATTTACTTTATTTAGATCTTAGATGTAATATTAAATAAAAATACAAATATTTCCCAATTATTATGTTAACTTAATTAGGTAATTAATCAACGAAAATTTCGAAATATGATATCTACCAATTATTAAGGTTTTAATAAGTTATAATTAAAATGGTATAAATATATTTTTCTTTTTCTTAGTATTAAACTTTGATGGAAATAAAGTTGTTAGGCTTTTAATTTAATTTGAAGAAATTATATTTTTGAAAAAATGAAAATATTTGTTAAAAATAAATTATAAATTAGTTGAAATTCCAGAAAATAAACATGGACACAGTCGCATTGCATTTTCAAGTCTTAGGTATTACCTACAATTAAAAATCTTATGCATTTTATATATTTTCATGGTTTTGACTAATTTCGTAAATATTTGAACTCCAAATGCTTGTGAAAAAAAAAACGTGAAGAAGTATTTTTGATATTTTCTGTAAGAATAACTTATGAGTCATCTTGTATTGAGTGTTCTAGCTTTTTAATTTAGAAAATTGTAATTCAACTTTATAGAAAAAAGTTAAAATGTTAGGTATGCTCAGTGTCGCCACTGAGAAAAACTAAAAATACAAATGTTAACTATTATGGAAAAGTATCAAAAAAAGATACATAAAAACTAAAAAAATTGTTCAAATACATAATAATATTACGTCAATATTCTGACAATACTTGACAATACGATACATGAATTGGACAAAATACTTGTAGATTATTATGTTTGGTATTCATTATTTGTGTTATTAATGCACTAAAAATTTCAATTTTAATTTAAAGGTAACAGTTGCAAACCAAGAAGCTGTGAAAGAAAGATCCTACCGTGGTGTAGTTCAACCTAGACAAGTAGTTCCACGGTTCGTTGTACCAAGAAGTAACAGCTTAGAACATAATAGTCACGTGATTCCTCGACACACCCAAACACAAAGTAACTACCAAAATGCATTTAATGATGAATTCTGGCCTGATATGTGGTACTTTGTAAGTATGAGCATTTTTTTTTAAGCTTTATTTATAAAAAAAAGTATTATTTTAAGGAATCGCATATTTCTGTGGGTAGACGATTACTATGTAAGTTATAAGTAACTAAAAAATATATATTTGAATTACCTAACCATGATCAACATTATGATAAGATGTGTATTACTGAATAAACCATTACTTTCTTTATATCTGAATTGATTTTGTCTCAATCACCATAAATTATTTTATAGTTTAATATGATCTATTAAGTAGGTACGCAACTAATTAATGCAATTAAATACATGCATCAACGCACAATACTATTAAATAGTATTAGACATTAGTATTATATTATTTACTCTGTGTTTTTAATCTTATCATTATGTATGACTGACTGACGATGTAGGGAAGATATTATCTTCTACATCGTGGACTGACTCAAAATAAATATGAACAATAATTATATAGATGATTAGTGATTACTTTAACAGTTAAACCACATCAAATTATTGTTGCGTCGAGTATACTATAATACTAATATACTAATTATTTACTTGTTATATTAGAAGTCTAAATTACAAATGCGTTCAAACACATCTAAGTGGGGGTAAAAGGATTGAAGTGTATTCTACCGAAAATACTCATTTATTGCTGGCTTACTATATCTGTGTGTACTATAGTACTATACTGTTGATTACCGTTCCCTTATTTTGGGTTAACACTGTTTGATTGCTTGTTATCAGATTTAGCAAACTGACTTTAGTAGAAACATTTTTTTTATAATTTATGAAATGTTATAATTTTAAATTAAAAACTGGAACATAAACTGTCAAAATAACAACTTTATCTAAATTCTAAACGGTAAATATAGGCGTAACTGCAGATGGAGGTGTCAATCTACCGAAAAGAAATACAGTTAGGTACCTACCCAACTATTTACTTAATAACTTTAATTATATAAAAATTGTATAAATTCAAAATTGTTTTATTCGTTTTTATTTTTGGTACATCGCTCAAATTCAATATAATAAACATACGTACATATTTAACATATTATTATATTGTTGGATTAAAAATAAATTAAGGGGATTCCACACTACCGATTTTTAGAGTAAAATAGACCTATACGCGTTCCAACGTACTAACTTGAGTTTTACTCCCATAATAATTTTGAAAACATATTTGAATTTATTATGAAGTCTATTTTGAATCCTTCGAATCAGAATAATAATACAACTATTTATGTCCATTACAATTTTTAAGAATACAAGTTTTTCTTTCTAAATTTCAAGTGAGGTTTTTTCTTTTTAAGAATCACAAATTAAAAATGTGGCTCGAAGCATCCAAAGTTGATTGAACAAAAAAACAAATTTTGTTTTCAAAATTATTATCGGCTTACAACTCAAGTCGGAATGTTAGAATTCGTTTAGGTCTATGATTTACAACATTTCGCCATGAAATAAATTTGTTGTTAGGCACAATGCGACATGCGCAACGCTTATCTAGCTCGCCGTCAGTCACTCACACTATATAATTATCATTTACTACACTCACACATGCACGCCACGCACGCACGTACTATACAGATTGTCTAAAAATTTCCTATACTCAACTCCTTAAAAACGGTCGGTATGGAATCCTCTTTATAGAAACGGGTATATAGGTATGAGTGGTAAAACGGGGTAGTGCGTATGAAAGAGGATATGGAATTAAGACCGCGTGTATTGAGAGAAAGGTAAGACTGCACCAGTAGTTATGCGTCATACATTATAGAGATAGTCGAACGGCTCAGTGTGGTTTTCTTATACTATTCGTATGAATATAATATGTACACTTTCGTATTACGTATGAGGATATGTCCGGATTGTTCGACGACCTCATATTTACCTCATATTTATATTAATGATGTATCATTTGCCTAGGTACCTACTGTATTTATTTATTTTCCTTAATTATAATAAGAACGCGATATATGATTTTTATGAAATTTGTGATATACCATGCTGGAGAATTAGTATTGAAATGGACGATGAGTCCAACGTGCCATATTGAATCGAACCACCGCCGTGTTGAGATAGCCCTAGAGGATAGAATACAGTGACGTTTGAAACTATTATTTAAAATATCTTTGTAAAAAAGAAATGGGCAGAAATCAAGATATGCTACTACCTTGAAGTTTGAACCCTTGCGAAGAGACTCTTCAGAAGAGTATAGATTGTAACTCGAGTTGTTCTAAGTTATTCTTGAACAGAGTTAACATTAAGGATTTTCGTAGGTAAATCGAAGACCTTTAATTTAAAAAATTTAAATACAGAACAACCGAATGTCTATATCGTTTAAATCACTAGCGGAGGATGGAAATCATGGGAGGAAAGAAATAATATACAGCGCACTCGAAGTAGAGCGTGTGCGTCACCAAGTTAATTATTTCATTAGAATAGTCAATATAGGGAATGTCAATAGAAAGCACCGACGACGGAGAGTCTTTGGTAGTTTGTAGGTGACTTATTCAGCCAACATATGGGATTAGTGGTGGTGGGAAGTTTCCTTAATTTTACAGTTGAGATGCTTAGTACTTGGTGCGTAGGTAATATGTGAGTATGGTATGGATGTAATCGTGGTCGGTGGGAGTACTTGATTTTATATTTTGTCAGGCTGTGCTGGTTTTGAATATTAGGTAGTTATTTTTATACGGTGTCGATATTATTCTTTATTGTTAGTGTTTCAACAATGAAACGATGAAAAAATTGTGATATTATATTATATAATGTATATATCCGGTGTTAAGTGCGGCTGCCTACTTGGAAATGTTTCGGAGTCACTGATAGGGCCAGTGTAGAGGTGTATATCAACTTACTTTATTAATATTGTTCAGCATTATTGGCTTTAGCTATTTTGTGGCATTTTAGTAGATATTGTTGTTACATACTATTGAGATATTACAATTGTGAATTTGTGACGAAAAATAATGTGTATTGTAGTAATTCGATAGTATTTGGAATTGTAACACATCCTGCAGTATTTTAATGGTCAAATTTGTGTTATTGAAAAAAAAAAAACATTTATTTGAAAATTGAAGCATTGTGATAACTAACTCTTTTAAGCCCTTTATACTCGTTCCCAATGTATGGCCATTGTATTTTACTATTGTATGACCTTAAGCTTTTTGCTGCGTCCACATTCCACTTGTTGCTAAGAAATTGGAACTTAAATTAAACATAAATATGATTATTTACCATTAATTAACGAGTAATTGAACAACATTTGAAAATTAATCAAAACTTATAAATACAAACTTTCTAGCTTGAACAATATTAAAATTGTTAAACATTATTTATATAAACAGACTATACATGACTAATATTATGAACAATAGGTATTAAGGAACAGAAATCGATACAAGTTTGCACACTAATGAGATCAAAAAAACAATATTGACCTTTCAAAAGTCGTATAATTATTTATTAGTTAAAAGGTTTTATGAAACGTACATTTAAGCTAAATAGACTCATGTATTAACTTTTATTTTTAAGGATTTGAGTTTAAAGTTCATCATGTTAAATAATAGGTTATTTGAGTTTTACATGACATGTACATTTTAAATTCTCATAAGCCATATGCTAAATTAAATAATTTAATGTTAAAGTTTTGTACTTGTGAAAAGTAAAATTGATTATTAATTTAACAATTAATATAATTAAAGATTTTAAGAATTTTTCTGAAATTGTTGTTACTAACCCATATTTAAACTTCATAGATTAAATACATGCAGTTGAATTTTTTTTGGTCTTCGGAGGTTTACATAGCCTTGGTTTTTCCCTCCCTTACCATAGTAATAATATGTTCATATTCATTATGTTAGTAATCATAATTATAAGTTTATACTAAGCAATACGCATTTTCAGCAAGATTTACGAACTAATGAAAAGGATCCCGTGCTTGATATGAATATAGTACCAGTCTTTTTTGAACTCGGAATTACAGGAAAAGGTGTGAATATTACAGTACCAGATGATGGATTAGAATGGACACATCCAGAAATATTACCAAAATTTGTGAGTTAACAACTTTTTAAATTTAAAGTTTGCGCATGTAATTTAATAGATATATTTTGTAAAACATTGATTTACAAAAATAACGGTGAAGTTAATACCATGTTCATTAACCCGGCAACCAGATTGCTTGGCGAGGTACTCATTATAGACTTAGTCATTTTACTAATTACTAATTTTCTATATGCCAATATTTTTTTCCTAATCGTGTTGCGCATGCTATATCCTATACGCATATAATATAATATATTTAGCTCATTACCTACTTAATAAATGATAATAACGACATACATTTTATTGGTTTAATTTGATAATATATAAATGGTAATATGTTAGATTTGAAATAATTTTTCATAAAAATGTGATGCCTGTTTGTAAATCAAACATTTCTTTAGTGTCGTATTTTTGTAAGTAGGTGATTGTACAAACAATTTACAATTTTAAAATACTCATAACTTGCTTTGAAATTAAAATTTAAAAAAAACCTACGAGGTCACTAGATAATAATCTTACTTTTAAATTTTATAAGAAGTCAAATTCATATAATTGTTAAACTAACAGAGCTAAACATGATCTGCTGAGCATATACAATTTTCTATATTATGTTCTGCGTTTGTAAGACAAAGAGAACGCATTCGGGTGTATAGCACCATCTTAAAAATATTTGTTTTTCGGCCCCTAAGCTTCCGGACCTGGGTTTGACTGTTGACTGCATCCGGCCTCTGATTCCTCTTATATGTATAATTACTCCACTGATAGAACTTCTAGTAAAGGAAATTCATATTAAACACACACATGTATTTAAATAGGGTTTCCCTTTTGAAAGGAAATGTCTTATGTTTCATGTTTGTAATTTGACTTGGTCATAAAGTTATAATAACTATCATAACATATTATAATGTATATTAATACTACTTCTTAGTTCTTAGTATTAGTTCTGTATACATTTTAAAACATACATTTACTCCAATAATTTAAGCATTTTTTTTTATGCAATGTCGTATTAGTACGATTACAATACAAGTGACAAATATTTTAGATTCTGAGTGAAGCGATGAATGTATTGATTTTACAATGATGTGTTGTTTTTTTTTTTTTTAAATTGTTGTGTCTGTGTACACGATAAGTATTTGAAATAATAATTCGATTTTCAACTTCAGTAAATTTTCACTGGATAATAATGTTCAAAAATCATTTTAATTGTTTTAAACTATATTTGACGGACGAGCAATTTTCATTTTTCAGTTTACATTTGTTTAAGTTTTTTTTCTATTAATGTCAATAAAATGTTATTTACCTATTGGGTCAAAAAGCTTGAAAATTTAATACAAGGCTCCTAATATATTGTTACAATGGCAGTTGAAAAATATTAAAACTACATGCTCACAATTTTTTTTCTCCTCAGAATCGTTATTTGTATACAATGATATTATAATATAAATTATCATTGAATTCAAATATTTAACACCATCCATTACTAACAGTAACCCACTTGTAACCTACTATATAGCAAAGTGACTTCCGCACCACTTACCCTCTTTTTTTTATTTGATGGTTGTAAAGTAAATTAAATATATTATTACTAGGTACATTGTATTATGTAATTTCAATACGTTTGATATTAATCTATAATTACAATAATATAATTATGTAATGTATGATTGTACTAATGTCATAATTAGTTTAAAATATTAATTTCAGAACCCTGACTTAAGTTGGAATTATATTTCGAATAATAATAATATTATGCCTGATAAAGATGGATATGGAGAGTATAGATCTCATGGTACTAGATGTGCAGGGGAAATAATTATGCAGCCAAATAATGGGATATGTGGCGTAGGAACAGCTCATGGTGCTAGTCTTGGAGGTAAACAGGATATTAGTGCGACTTAATGACATTTGAAAGAATTTGTTGAACTTAAACTTAAATGTTAACAAATAATAATTTATATTATTTTAGGCATTAAGTTTTTGGACGATGGGTCGACAGACACTAGAGAAGCTAAAGTATTAAAATATGCTCGTAATTATGTGTGCATTTATAGTAATTCATGGGGTCCTGCGGATACCGGAACGTTTATGGAACATTTGACAGATTTTGTAAAAAGGTCGCTTTCGAAAGGCATACATCAAGTAAAGTAGCTAAAAAATAAAGTTCCATTCTATATATATAAATATATTTTTTTTTATTGTAGAATATGTTATCAATAATTACTATTTCTATCTACCTAACTATTGTAATAATACAATTCTTGTCGTTACAATATTTCTGATTGGTCATTTAGTATAATATTGTTATGCATATCATATTTTATAATAAAGTTAAAATATAAACTAAGTTAAAAAATAAACAAGACGTACCACTTATTCGATTTATAATTGTTTTTCATAATATAAAACTCAACCGATTCACATGGCTGTAGGGTCGGGACGGAAAAGGAGCTATTTATGTGTTCGCCGCGGGCAATGGAAAAACGGAAGGCGACAACTGTGCTTGCGACGGTTATGTAAATTCCATATATACCATAGTGGTTGCTAGTTGCGACGATAGTGGTCACGTAGCACACTATTCCGAAAGATGTGCTTCGATCATGGCTACTGCATACAGTGGTTCTGGACAAGAAAAAAATGTGGTAGGTATCATGCATCTCAATAATATTGTGTCTTGGGCCTTCGTTTACCACGGTAATAGGTGGTGTCATCTGCAGGGTCGGACTGGTTTTAAAAGGCCTACCGTGCATTTTAGTTTAAAAGGCCCTCAAATATAACCATATACCATATACGTATATACGACATACGTTAATTTGTAAAATTATTAATATTATTTTTTTGTTTACCTACCTAATTGAAATATTATCTAGTTAATAATATTTAGTAATTTACCATTGTACATAATATTACCAGTGTATTTAGCCATGGTCTTAGATACAATACATTTTATTATGTGTATATATTTTTTTTAAATATAATTATTACAAAATATACTATACATATTATACTGATGTATAATTTTTAAAATACAATGTTTAGTCAACCAAACTTCGATTTTCTGTAACCACTTATGGCGGTTATGAACATTAAAAAAGTGAAAAATTAAATATTAATAATCTACAATTTTACCAACTCAAAAGTTAGAATATTAAATGTTTGTGAAGTTAATACAAAAAAAAAATAAAGTAAAACCAAGTCTAATATTATTATTTTTATTTGACAATTATTAATTATTGACTTATAGTTTTTAGCAATTTTATTGGAAGATATAGTTCTCAAAGTTGCACATAAATTGTCCATATTAATCGTAATAATCACTATAAGATTAATCTCTCACGCTAGGTAGATAACAGAATACCCACCCTGGGTGTCATACATTCTGTGTTAAATGGGATTGTAGCAATCATAAGAGTAAAACTAACGTGGACGATAACGCCATCTGTTTAAAATTCACTAAATACATCAGAAAAGATTTTAAAAGTTTATCATCCCTTTAAAAATTAAATAGATCGAATGAACACTTGAGAATTAAGAAACGCTGTTATTGATTATTATTGAATCCTTCCTCGTGCTATTAATAATGTTTTACTTTACGATACAATATTGCCTGTATAGTATAAAATATTTAAATATACGTCGGATAGAATTTTCTTTGAAATAAATTTAATAATCATACACAGAGCAATCAATTTAATCTGATATAGTTTTTATTTCTATACAATTTATAAAGAATAAATTATGCTTTGAGTTCTACATTATATTTAGTTTTCGTTTTTTTTTTTTAGGAATTGCGTCTTATTATGTGTTATTTCGTACCGCCTTAGAGTTAATATACGTAGGTATTACTTAATTAAATCATTCGTTTATTCGAGTAACGTATTTTACGTTATTTTATTTATAAAGTACAGTATTTTTTTTTATCGTGTAAGGAGTAGTAGAGAAATAAATTATTATTTATTACTATAATATAGTATTCTTAATTTGTATTTATATAATTAAGGCAACTGCAACTGTACCTAATATAATAATATTGTCGAGTTAATTTTATACTTGGAAAACAATCAGATAATGGATTAAATATATTTTAATAAATATCTATTTAATGATGTTTTGTCTAGTAAAAATGAAAAAAAATTAATATTTTGTCTTTTAATCTAGTTGACTGCCGATGTAAACGGAAAATGTACTGACAAACATACTGGAACGTCTGCAGCTGCACCACTGGTGTCTGGTATTATAGCTTTAGCTCTGTCGGCCAAGTAATATTAATGATGACCTCAAACACTCAAACTATTCGATTGTTAATGAAATATAATTTTCAATTATTTCAAGGCCGGAACTGACATGGAGGGACGTGCAACATCTAATAGCTTGGACATCTCAGGTGGCGCCATTGAGTGATAACTACGGATGGAACAGGAACAAAGCCGGGTTCTTTTATTCCGTTGACTTTGGGTTCGGCCTAGTGAATGCTTATAAGCTAGTCCAAGAAGCTATGAAATGGGAAAACGTGCCTGAGATGTCGTCCTGTGGTATACGCATGCCTAAGGTCAGGTAAGTATCGCACGAAACAAAAAAAATCATAACGGTTTTAACGATTATATAATTTTTTTTAAATGTATAATTACAATATTGTACATAATATTATCAAAAACAACCTTAAACTATAATCTCTCATAAAAAAACAATTTGTCATTTCATTAATATTACGAGTATATTAATTTGATAATAAATTGTATTTGTTTAGAGGTTTTCCTGTATCGAGAAATCGTGCTGCCCGTATTACCGTGCACTCGAGTGGCTGCGAAGGATTGGCTGGTGAAATAAAATACTTGGAATATGTACAATTAGTATTAACGATGTCTTATCCAAAAAGAGGAGATATTCAAATAGCGATGAAATCACCGTTAGGTAATATATTTTTTGTTATGTGCGTTTGTGAGTTTTTTGCGTAAATAATAATAGCAATCTATCTTGTCCATATAAATCCATGTAAATCTACAAATTTTTAAAGGAAATTATAACTTAGCATATGCAAACAATAATTTTGCATTGTCTGTCTCTCTCCCAAACGTGTTGGCTTCAACATATTACACTTAAAACAGCTAATGTTCCTGGTCTTTTCTATTGATGTCTATCATTTTTTGTCACCAATTTTATCAGTAATTTAAATTTTATTTTAATACCTTAAATGCTCTATAAACTATTATGACTAATTTAAAAATACAAATGTGTAGTTAACAAGTAAATTTACGTGAATTTCGGAATAATGGTATGACTGTATATAGCCATTGAGATCATTATAAATTAATTTGAATTTGAAAGGGTAAAAATAATATTGGTAAATAAATAGCCATTAAAATGTAATGTACGTATTTATCTTTATCAGTGAAATGTGTAAGATACATTTACTGAGCTCACATATTATGTTACTATAATTTGTATACAATACAATATATTCGTTATATGCTAATTTATCATTATATTTACTTGTATAGGCACGGAATGTCGAGTCCTGGGAAATCGACCAAAAGATTTTAATACTAATGGTTTGGGAAGATGGACATTTTCAATACTCGCTTTCTGGGGAGAATCTCCAAAAGGAAATTTTGTCATCGATATTTTTGATACGGTATATAATATACATATTTTTGACTTAATTAGCATTCAATGTAAATGGTTAATTGATATATGTTGTTATTGCAGACTGGTGATGCATCCAACAAAGGTAGAATTACTGAAATGACTTTATCTTTGCACGGAACCAAAGATCAACCAAAAGTTTATCAAAAAGGTCCTCGACCATATGATGATTTTAAATTAGCGAAACCGGTTGGTATCCAATATATGTGTATTTTAATAAAAAATTGCTTAAATTTACATTGCTCCTTACAGGGTGATAAACCTAGATTTTCGAATCTTAGTCAAAGTAAGGGAAAAAGTCTTGTAAGACCTAAGGTCCAGAAAAGACCGCATGTTTCGAGTCCAATTAATAACGATGAATTCCAAATAAAAGAAGAAACAAAAAATCAAATTCAAGATGACCTAATGTTACATCAAAATTTAATAATGGAAATGGAACAAGAAGCTGCTAATCAAGAAGAAGAAATTTTACAGAATATTACATCGAATATGATTAATTCAGCTATCGATTTAGATAACGATTTAGATCTCTAAACAAGTTTTGAAAATTATTTTTCAGCGCATAAAGTGTGACTCGATTATCTAATTTATGATAAATTTAATATCTACCACGATGTTCACTAAATACATTTTTAATTTCTTAAATTGATTTATTTACCTTATCCGATATTATATTGTAGTTAATAAACACAATTCATGTTTACTATAATGTAATTTATTTTCTATAGATATTATAATTACTGCATTCGCAATGATAATTATAATATTTTAAATTTCTAATTTGTATTTTTACCTCAAGGAATTGTGTGAAAATTATAATAACACATTTCGATTCCTTTTTTAAACATAATATTAAATATTCATTCCTAAAAATCATTAAATCCAATATATTCTACTAAAAATAATTTTAGTTGTATTATAACAATATGTCAAACGAGGTAAAGTTTTAAAATATTAAATCATTTTTAAATTTAATTTTTATGTATAAACTGCTGTGAACACTAATTTCACTGAATGTAGCGTTGCATGCATGCATGCATTAAATAATTAATGTTCTATAAATTGAAAATAATGGACTTTTGACTATGAAATAAAGGGAATAATAATTATAAGTTCAAAAATCAAATTGATAACTATTGCAAAAGAACACAACAATGTGATTTGTAATGAATGATTTATTAACATTTTTATAATTATTCGTGTGGGCAATTCGGTAATAATATCTAAATCGAAATATTTTGCTGCTATTATTATTGTGATATAAACAAATTGGTTGGTTAATTTTTTTTTTTCATACCGTATAGGAATGTTGTAAATTTTTAGTTACAGTTTTAATTTGCATACAAATATAATAGGCACCTACAGCATATGCTTGGATTTACGCTTAACAACTTGGGTGAATTTAATAAGACATATTATATCGTCTGCATATACCTAGCTGATTACGTTTAGCAAGCAGACTATGGCTGATTATTGTTTAAGAAAGGAGAACACTAATAATATTATTGTCTTAACCGAATGGTGTGCAGTGTGTGTGTGTGGGGGGGGGGATAATATTATTTTTTGATTTTCTTATAGCACACAGGACTGGGGGGCGCTTAAAGATGTCACAAAATTGAATTCGTATAATTGGTCGTAGGTACACATACCTTTGTTCGCGTGTGTTCTCCTTCTCATTATTTACGAGCCGCCAAAGCAGAAGTGTGACGAAAAAACAATGGAAAAAACATTCGTAATAAACATTTGACTAACGAGCGCGTGTCATTATTGGGCGACACTTGTACCGTCATCAAGCCCAAATACGTCTGACGAATTATTAACGTGTAATCAAGTATATAGACGTTTAACATACACCTAAACAAATATCATACGAACCGACAGAAATCATGTGGACAAATTTTGTAGGTATATTACAAATGGTCGCGATGTCTACTATAGTATACTATACTATATCTAGTAACTATAGTACTATGTAGAAATCTCCAATAGTACCTATTATCATATCTGTTCGTTCTCAAATTTTAATATTTTTTCGTACGGTATTGTTTGGCTCTATTCTTTGCTGCAGGTAAATACACAACGACAATAATATTATTAAGTATTATAATTATTTTCGAATACACTGCACGCCGTTCGTAAAATAACTGTAAAACACTATTATTGCGGAGAAATTCTATTAATTAGAACAATACCAATTGTCATAATATTAAATATACTATTACAGAATAATGTGAATGTCAATAGTGTAATAAGTGTCAATAATACATGTTGTATTTATTATTTTAAATACAAAATTTTCGTCATCAAGCCCAATACGTCTGACGAATTATTAACGTGTAATCAAGTATAGACGTTTAACGTACACCTAAACAAATATCATACGAGCCGACAGAAATCATATGGACGAATGTTGTAGGTATATTGCAAATGGTCGCGATGTCTACTATTATAGTACTATGTAAAACGGAACAGTATTATATTATCTGTTCGTTCGCAAATTTTAATATTTTTCGTATGGTATTGTTTTGCTCTATTCTTTGCTGCAGGTAAATACACAACGACAGTAATATTATTACGTATTATAATTATTTTCGAATACACTGCACGCCGTTTGTAAAATAATTGTAAAACACTATTGTGGAGAAATTCTATTAATTAGAACGATACTAATTACTATAATATTAAATATACTATTATAGAATAATGTGAATATTAATAGTGTAATAAGTGTCAATAATACATATTTTATTTATTATTTGAAAAAAAAAATGTTCGTTAGCATAATACAATATTCATTAATCATTTATCATTATGGCTTATCGGCAAATGGTTTTTTGTTCGTTTAAAAATCTTCACTTTTAAAAAACGTTTTATAAAAACTATTATTGGATTAAGGTGAAACTTAGGATGGAAGGAAAAAATAAAAGAAGAATTCATTTTTAGTCCGTGGGCAGTGGTTATGGACACCACGGAGTGGTCAGAAATGTCATGTTACGAAAATAGTACAGATAATATTGTACAATTATATTATTGTATTTAACTATAATACACTTATATTATAATATACAAGGATAAACAATTTATAAAATATATAGTAAAGGTGTAATAATATGTTTTTGTATAATATAATACGCACAAAAATAAAAATTCGATAATAGGCACTTAAGATTTGTATTCGATACCCACATTATCATATTACGTATATTATCTGATCGACATTCAAGTAGGTACTCGAGACGGGTATCATATCACTATTACTAAACATATTGCAATATCATTATATTATATTTATATTAATATATATTAATAACATATTCTTGTGTGAATAGGTACGCGACGGTACAAATAAAAATATTACGCGAACGGGTTTAAAGAATTCACATAATAATATATACCACTCGAGTGCTAAATTATAATATTAACTTGAATAAAATATGTTTGATATTTATGAGTTACCTATACGCTTCAAGTATTCCAGAAAAACGTAACGAATTCAATACAATTATACACAGCCAATATTACAATATGTTATGGATGCATATTGTATATTATTATTTATTGTGTTGTATAGTGCTTAGATGATTTAATTGTATGAAATATCAAATATGCGTAATATGTAATATTACGAACATAAAGCGATTTATTTTTTTATTTTTTGTATCTCGAAATACGTAGTTAGTAGGTACCCACCCATCTATTGTCTATTGACGATGTTATGTGTGTTTCGATGTATTAAGTGACCTACTAAATGCATTTATCGTTCTTTAAAGTTAGAAATCAAATTAAATTGATTTGGTGTACAGGATTTTATTAAATTTAATCACTATTTTTCGGTTTCAAACATTATTTTTCAGCTTATCGTCTTTCGTGATCTAATCCATTGAAATACAGAATTTTTATTAAACAGTAACACTATTTTTTTAAATTTTTTTTTTGAAAATAAACTTTCAATTGAAATTATAAGCTTTTACTTGCAAGTTGCAAAGTTACACGTTATACCAAAACTATTTTGATTTTCACCCTTAAAACTATAAGATAAAAGATGCGATTTAAAAATGTTATAATTATTGTGTTTCATTTCATTAAATTAAATATTTTTGAATGATACGAAGAACCAGCAATGGTTTGATTGATCAGGCGAATAATATTATACTATTAATATGAGTAATAACGAATAGGTCGTTTTTGTAAATTAAATGTAAGTAAAAATAATAAATTAATTATGCTACAAATTCAAAGAGTACAAATTAAAAAAGCAGGCAGTAGCTTGTGTAATACATTATTAACAAATAATAAAACCCTGTAAATACTTTTTAATTTAAATAAATTGCAGTTGCATTTTTATGAACTAGACGTTTATAAAGAAAGAAATGCAAATAATTTGTTCAATCGAGGTATTTTTTTTTATGGACATAATATTATGTTTATCAGAATAACTTATTAATATTAATCAGGCACATAAAATGTTTGTACGTTAAAAAAAAATAAAAAAATAATCAGAGAATTAATTAAAAACCGTTACCGGTTGCCATAAATTAAAAAAAAATTAAAAACTCAACAATAATGTTAATACAGTTTAAACTCTACATCTATCTTCGTACCTACCTATATTATATTAACATATTATGAATCTATTTACTAAAATTAATCTTTTCAAATGTTAAAATGTAAGTTATTATGTGTAATTGAAAATATTTGTTTGTTTAAATAATTATAATTAATAATTTGGTCGAATAAAATAAATAAGCCGATAAATGAAATGCATCGTTAAGAATCTTATCTCCGTTTTCTGGCAACAATTTTGTATCCGAAGAAAGCCAACTCATCGTTAATAATAACAGTTTTTTTTAAGACCACACAATTATCGATGCTAAGAAAAAAATATTGTATTGTATAATACTATTTTGTATACTTCATATCTCGTTGCATATTTAATCTCAGTTAACTGTGCAATTGGTTACAACAAAATTGGATACGTTGTTGTAGTTAAAGAAAATCAGTGAGGAAAAGTGCAACCTTAACAGTAAAAAATAAAAAATGTATATATACAGTTAATACCCATATATTATAAATAAACTTGAAGTTTCAATGAATATGGTTAACCATCTCGAACCCGTCATATTGATTATCACTTTGATTAAAGTTTTAGTTACCTAAATGCTTAGGTATAACTTGTATTTAGTTTTAAGATAGGTAGGCTTATTGCTTATAAGTTATAAGTTATTAATAAACCTTAATACTAACTAACCAGAGTTGGCCAAGGCTCAACAGATATTAATGATAAAATAAGCTTATCTCTGAAATAGTTAAATAAATTTGATTATCTTCATCACGTTCGTTAGAACGTTAATTATGAAAAAAAATTATGAAGTATTAAAAATTCGGGTGTGCCTATTAATGACGATCGTTTAGGACAGTTGATGGGGCATGGTAAAAAAATCAAGTAGTATACTAGTATACGTATAGCTGTCACATAAAAAAATAAAATAAGTACTCCTGCTTTGAGTACTTACCTAGGTTTAACATAAATATAT